GGGGGTGACTTAGGGGCCCCGGTTGGTTTTAGCCCTTTGGGCTGCGGGAGAACTGGGCCGCGCGGGGCTTGGCGGGACCCTTCCGGGCGCGAGCGAGACCTTCGACCTTTTCGGTTTCTTTTAAAAAATAAGGAAGTTACCGGGGGAAAAGTTGCTGCCCATAGAGACTCCCCCCGGTTTGTCTTTCTAGTTTCAGAACGATGCTGCTTTATTTTTAAGGGCTGGAGATGAGGCAGGGTGTGGAGCCAGCCATGGGAGCCTGTGATGGGGTGTTCTCAAAATGTTCACTGGGTACCTCTTTGTGGATGGAGGAGACCAGAAATTGCGTTTTCTGAGTAGTCCAAGGGACAACAGACATGGTGCTTTTCTGGCTTCCTGTAGCCACCCTGGAACACCCCTCCCACTTGAAAAAAGCTGCAAATGGGTAAGGAAGAGAAGAGTTAGAAGCTAGGTCTATGGGTTTGTATTGGGAAAGTGTGGAATGGGAGCAGAAGTGTTTCTGATAAGGCAACTGGCATTTACCCTGCTCAGAGCCCCAAGGCCAGAGGTGACAGATTTGCAAAAATTTTGGTGATGTCCACCCAAAGTCCAACCCTTCCCCCCCTCCCCCGACACACACACCTGCCTAAGGTTCCTGGAGGGAGTTTGGGTGGGGGAAGGGTGGAAGCTCCAGGATGGAATTTGGGTACAGAGTGCAGGCTTTGGACTGGGGTGGGAGTGGGTATAAGAAGGGTGCAGGGTCTGGGAGGAAGTTTGGGTGCCAGAGGGTACAAGAGTTCCGGATCTGGGTGGGAATGTGGGTGTGGGAGGGGTTGGGGTGTAGGCTGTGGGTTGAGGCAGGTGGTGGGGATGCAGGCAGTGGGAGAGAGTTTGGGAACTGGAGGAGGTCTCAGGGAGTGGGATGCAGAAGGGAGTTTGGGTGGAAGGGGGTGAGATGTGAGAGGGAGTGCAGCGCTTACCTGGGAGTGGCAACGACACCTTAGTGAAGTGGAGTTGGGGGTCTCTGCATGCTGCTGCCCACAGGCATCGCCCCTAATGCTCTCATTAACCACAGAGGTGCTTGAGGTGGGGCAGCGCGCAGAGACACATATGCTCCAGGCCATAGGGATGTGCTGGAAGCTGCATGGTACAAGCAGACAGAAGCTGCTCTAGCCCCACTGCACTCTGGTGGAGGGAGGGAGGTTCTCTGGGGAGGTGGCAGTGGGAAGGTTGGGGGGCACATATATAATTGGGGGTAGAGACCCAGCCCTGAACTTTGGTGAAGCCAGGCCCATGTCTAAGAATGTTCCTGGTGCCCAGGCACCACAGGTCTATAGAACTCACCCAAGCCCCAAGGCTGACTAATGTCCAGGTTTACAGAGGAGGCTAAGGTACAAGGGGACTCAGTGGGGATAGGCCACAAGGAACTGGTTTGTGGCTGGCAAGAATGATATATTACCTTTTAGGACTATCACATGATTTCAGTTCCTCAGAAGTTCAGAAAAAATCCTTATACTGTGGGTGGACAACAGACAAGCAGCCTGTGCAACTTGTGCTGAAACTCAGCTCAGTGTTTCAGCATTTGAGATAGGATAAGGAATTCCATTGGATTTGGCTTTTACTACAGCACTGGAGGACCAACATGGTGCAGCAAGCAGCAGTATATCCATATCGAGTTAATGGGGTAATTAAAAACCTGGAAGAAGATTTGGCTCTTGGCATCTCTCTCACAGGGTGACTGATACCTCTGAAAATGCAGTCAGCTGAGACATTTGAGTTAATAGTTACTAGACTTCAGGGTGAGGGTTAGGTGGGATATTTTTTTGTCACTGGGGCATCATGGACTTTGGGACTCATTTTTGCAGCACCTGAGTTGGTTGGTTTCAAGGTGTGTGTATTTTTCCAGGCTCTTTGAGAGGCTGGGCTAGTGCTGTGGTGAGTTACAAATCCTGGTGTGTTGAATGGGCTGTGAGGGTGGTGTTGACACTGAATAAGCTATACAAGAAAATCTATGTATATTTGCATAAAAATTAGTAACATTGAGCCCACAGTAAAAGTTTAGGAACTTTTTCTAATTTGTAAGGCAAAAAACCCCCCCAAAACCCAAAAACTATGTGTGCAGCAAAGGGTTGCAGATACTAGCAAGGACAGAGAAATAACTCAAAAGGGCCCTAGAATTTTTATCCATATTGGGTCTGGCAGTTGCTGATTAATGTGATATTCAGGAATGGGGATTTCTGCTTTGATTGATGATGTGTTTCTTCTTCAATGTGTTTAAATATATGTCCAGGGCAAATGGTGATGTAGTGAGCATTCTTTAGTGTGGAATATTACATCTAAATAAATAATAGAACTGGAAGAAAAATGACCCAACCCTAGACTCAGTTGGAAAGAGAGGCTTGGAGAGCAAGAATAATTGAGAACCTTATGCAGGAAGCACTAAATAAGACAAGTTCATGATACGATAGTACTGAAAAAGAGTCAGTGTCAGTTTGAGGCCACATATGAAGAAGCTTCATAGAAACAGAGAGGGAGGTCTTCCCGGGGGTACTGCACTCATCTCTGGTATCTTGATATTGGATCGTGAAAAGTGCCTCAGAAGTTCACAGGCGGGCAAGAGGGTTTAACTCACTAAGAGATGATGCAAGCTCAATCTGCTATCCCTTGCACCCCCATGGTACAGGTTTCTCTGTCGTTCCTCCTACCTGCACTCCTGAACCCATGAATATCCGGAGAGGGAAGCAGCCTGCCTGTGCAAGGGGCTGAGACGTGCAAATTCTGAAGTGAAAGCTGGGGACAGCTTTTCTTGGGTGGGAACATCAGCTGTCATTCAGGGTACTGTGACTCTCTTTTACTGCAGAAATATAAAGAGCCTAGAAATTGCTGTGCTCTATATTATTTAGCACCAGCATTGGAGACCCCATCAGTGAGAAGAACCTGCTAATGTGGAATTCACTAGATGCTGGCCTTCAAACCAATAACTTGGCTCTGTGGGTCAGTGCTACAAGCTGTTCCTCACGCCTGATTGTGGCTCTCCCTGTGGTAAAGACCAAGGGAACCCAGCTCCATGCTGCCCCTGGAACTAGTACCACCACTGCATGGCAGAATTTGAACTTATTCCTTAACCATTTTAGGGTGCTGCTTTGCAAGATGCTGCTGGTGAGTAGCAGTGAGAGCCAGATGTGTAGAACTCCTATGAAATGCTTTCCACTGATTGAAGTAGTAGTATCAGTTAGGACTGAACCAGAATGGCTGTGAGTTGAGACACTATCTTGCAAGGTTCTAGGTCAGGGGTGAGCAGTAATTTTTGCAAAGGGGCCACTTAATTAATTTTGGTACATGGTCATGGGCCAGCTCCATCCCCAGAAAGGGTGGTAGAAGGGGTGGGGCTAGACACTAGTCGTCCCCCCCCCCCCCCCGAGTCAGAAGCTGGAAGCATTGAAGTAAAAACATAGCAAAGGGCTCGTGGATCTTGGCCCAGCTGCTACTGCGTTGCCTGGGAGTTAGCTACCCAGGGTTGCTGCGGTTATTTAAAGGGCTCACAGCTCCAACCCCCACCAGGATAGCGCTGCAACTAGGAGCCCTTTAAATAGCTGCAGCAACCCTGGGTGGCTCCCAGGCACTACAGTAGCAGCGGGGCTGGGAGCTTCAAACCCTTTAAATAGCAGCAATTTAAAAGGCTCCTGGCTTCAGCCCCTGCTGGGGTAGCACCTCAGGATTCTGCTGCCTAATCTGGAAATTCGGTGGTACAGGCAGCAGGATAAAAATAGAAAGCAGCCAAATGCAGTCTATGGGTGAGATCAAAACATTAGGTGGGCTGAATCCAGCCCCTGGGCCTCATCTTGCCCGGCCCTGGTCTGGAATCTAAGATGGGACCAGCTGAGGACAGTTTGCATGCAACCTCCCAGAGTTATCAGACTTCACATCTGAGTGTCTGCTGGATTATCAAAGAAATTATACTAGGACTGGAGATACTTTAATCAGACTGAATCACTGCAAATGTTGGCTGCAGTTGCCATAGAAACTGAATCTTGTTGCTAGCTGTGAGGAAGGGTTGTCACTTGGCTACTGCTGCTGCATAGTTCCAGCATTGGCTCATGGTCCAGAGAAGCAGTGTCCTGCTCCATATCCCTACTGAGATTCAAGGGAAGGTTTGGCAGCTTGTCCAGCTCTCAGGAGGGGTGCAGGAAGCAGTTTTGCTTGGCTCTCTAGTTGACTACAGATCTATCAGGCCCTGCATAGTTTCTGATTTGCCTTGAAGATCCTCTGCCCATATATGTCTGTGTTGCTCTGGTTATGGGAATCTGACTTGACTTGTAACAGCTCCCAGACATTGGGGAGCCAAGGATGAATTAAAGATTAATTCTGAGTTTCTGAGAAAGAGATAAGGAATAATCAGAGCCCCCATCATCCTCTAGCAGAGGGAGGGACTAACTCAAGGTTCTAACTAATGCCCTGGCAAAATCCCCACCCCAAACTTGGCAATGGATTTAGCCCCAAGCATGTGAGTAAGACTGTCATTAGATTCTCACCCTGTTCACACTCCACAATGTCTTTGATGTTCCTGGTAACTATTCTTAGGCTTCTTGCACCCTTGGAATTCACAAGCAGCTGTAGGAACTGGGAATTCAAAACACCAAGCTACTCCACCTCCCTGCACTCCAGGAAAAAGTTACATTGGATTTACAACCATATTATCCTTTGTTAGTTTTCAGGCGAGGTCATGTGTTCTGCTGCTGCTTAGTTCCCAGCTGCTGCAGTCCTCTTCTGGGCACTCAAACATAAACAAGACCCTGTCCCATCCCAGAACCCTTCCTTCTAGAGCAGTGATCCCCAACCTTTTGTGGCTGCCGCGCCCAGAGGTGGGGGCCACCCATGCGCCCTGAGCCCAGGGCCGGCACCGCGCATGTGCCGCGCGCCCAGGGCAGGGGCCACGCATGTGCCACACGATGGGGGCGGGGCCAGCCCAGATGTTTCGGCAGGCGCACATAAATGCCCAGGCAGGCACCATGGCACCCGCAGGCACCACGTTGGGGACCACTGTTCTAGAGCTTACACATGCCTCAGTTCCTCTCCAAGCCATCCCCAGAAAAGGTTTTGGGGAGAACTCAGGCATATGTAGGCTCTAGAGCAGGGGTGGGCAAAAGGGTCTCCATGGACCAGATCCGGCCCACCAAGCGGGTAGATCCGGTACCCATGCTCCTGGTGTGGGAGGAGACGTCCATCGCTCCCCTGCCCCTAGGCCAATTAGGGCCTGGGGGCAGGGGAGCGCGCAAAGCCTCCTCCCGGCCTGCCAGGAGCATGTGGCGCTATGAAACACTGCTCGTGGGGGGAGCGGTGTATTCACCTGCCCCCAGACCCTAATTGGCCTAGGGGCAGGGGAGCGATGGACGTCTCCTCCCACACCAGAAGCATGGGTACCTTGGGGGAACTTGGGGTGGGGGCAAAGGCACTCCCTTACCCCCAGATCAGTCATTGTGGGTTGGGTACCTGGAAATAATTTGGCCCTGTCCCTTCCGCTTGATGCTCTGCCCCTTCCTGTGCATCCCAGAAAACTTCAAAAAAATTTGAAGTGCCCCCCAGCAAAAAATGATTGCCCACCCCTGCTTTAGAATTTGTCTATCCCTGTGAATGGCAGGTGTCTCATTGGCTGCAACATTAGAAACCTGCTGCAGCCAGCCCCACCTGTGCCTTATGCAGTGGTGTCATCATCGACCTTGTTTGATTATATCTGCCTTGGGGTGTGCAGCCTTTTAGCCTCCAAGTTCCCATCTTCATGGTGCTGTTAACATTAGTTCCTGAGAGCAGGGTCTGTTACCTCGGTTTCGTCGATCAGCCTCATGCATTTAACCAGAGCATCACCATTAAACTCAATATTGGCTGTTTCTTAGATTACTCCCTAAAAAATGGGAGCCTCCTGAAGACATTCTACTCCAGGTGAGATTGAGGGACAAACTTTCAGCAGCAGCAATTGATTCTTGTGCTCTGGAATCTCCAAACTCCCTAGGCTCCTCAGTATCATAGCACAGCCTGTGCAGTACTGCCCATATCTGGTGTTTGTGTTATGGAAATAACATGGGGCGTATCCTAGCCACTTGCCCTATGTGTTGAAATGGGAGAGAAGGGTTTTGCTGTGTGATGCTAAATGGAGAATGGTTGTGGTGATAGGGGGTTGGCATTCACACTGCATTTTAGTCCAGTCAGTGAAATTTTGCTAGGGACTCTTTAAGCTACATCCAATAGGATTTTATTTCTAATGCACTGGAGCACTCATGTGTGCCAGTACAATAGCTGTTAAGAGCTCTGTCACCATCCAGGATGGGAGCTGGGGGAAACAAAATCTGGGAAAGCTTCCAGAGCAGGGCCCTGTTGTGCAAGCAACTGGGCCCAGTGCCAGCACCACTGGGGCGGGGAGGAGTGTGTTGTGCAGCAATAATGGCCGATACAGTCAGTGTGTCAGGCAGGGACTGGTATAGCCTGTCACCTTCCCTGGTATCTCAGTGTCTCTCCCAATTTGAGTACTCTGTGGGGAGAACAGTCAGGCTGCAGCTGGACTCAGGGCAGAAACTCAATGGAAGGGCTAGCTAGGGCTCTTTCCCCTCCCAGTGGGAGGTAAAAGTGAAGGGTCTGCTGTTTAAGGTAGGGATGTTGAATAGCAAGTAATCGAATAGTCAAGTAATCACATGAATTCTGAGCGGTTAGTTGACTATTCGATAGTCCCCGGGGTTGTGGCTGGGAGCCAGTGCACTCCAGCCCCATTCCCAGGGATTCCTCTGCCACCCCATACTGCTGCTTCTGTATCAGAGGCAGCAGCGTGGGGTGCCAGGCAGGAGCTGGTCCTTAAGGGGAACTAATTTTAAAACCAGCTCCCCTTGTGGACTGACTGTCTGCTGCCTTTCACTGCTGCCTCTGATACAGAGGCAGCAGCCCGGGGTGGCAGCAGCCGCTGTTTGTGGGGAGTCCAAGCTCCCTGCGGACAGAGGCTGCTGGGGGTAGAGGAGGCAATCGTGAAGCAGCCTCTGACCGTGGGGAGCTCAGACTCCCTATGGACAGGGGTTGCTGTAATAGCTATCCTCTGTCCACGGCAAGCCGGGGCACACCACAGGCAGAGGCAGCAAGGGATGAGGGGTAGGGGGAGAATGCAACTAGTCAACTAAATTGACCAGTAAGCTTAGGCTCATTGGTTAATTGTTTAGTCAGCTAGTTGTTGACACCCCTGGTTTAAGATGCCCATGTTTACAAGTAGATGGGGTCTCTGGGTGGGCTTTGGGGGAGAGGTTTCTGGATAGGGTACAGTAAGAGTGCGAGGAGAAGGGGAAGTCAGGAGAAGGGATAAGGAGTCAGAGGCTGAGTTCAGTGGGGCAGAGAAGGGGTGATCCTCTTGATTTACTCTGACAGCCTATGCTGGCTGTGTTTTAAAGAAGCCTTATTGAGGGTGCAGAAACAGATCATCCCAATGTGAGAGTATAGCAAATATGGCAGGTGACCAGCTTAGCTTGACAGAGAAATCTTTGGTGAGCTTAGATACATAAAGGAACCTTCCAAAAGTGGACACTTGGTGCTCTAGACAGCACCCTTCTGTCAGAATAAACTACTCAATTTGCACTACACAAATTGTGTAACTTATTCCGAGTCTAGGTTAAAAGAGCTTATCTTGAAATTTGGCGCTGTGTAGACAGCACTAAATTTCAAAATAAGGCACTGTTCTGACAAATCCCTTAACCCTCATGGAATGAGGGTTACATGAATGCCAGAATAGTGTGCCCCCTGTTTTGGGAAATAGCAGGTGCTTTTAAAGATGTGGCATTGCTATTTCAGAATACTTCTGGTATCGCAAAATAGTGACTCAGTCTAGCCTTAGCCTTGGACAGAAAACTAGAGAGCAGTCTATTGCTTGAATCAGGAACAAGAAAAAGGTCATGGAAAGAGTAAGGCCCTCACTAATGGGGGAGGCAATCTAGTGAGAAATGATGTGGAAAGAGCAGAAATATTCAATGCTTATTTTGCCTCAGTCTTCACAGACTGTTGCCCTAGGACAGCACAGTATGGGGAGGATGTGAGCAGCCCTCAGTAATGAAAGAACAGGTTAAGGATTATATAGAAAAGCTGGACATGCACAAGTCCGTGGGGCTGGATCAAATGCATTTGAGAGTTGTTTGATGTGACTGTAGAGATAATGGCCATTATCTTTGAAAATTCATGGCAATCTGGGGAGGTCCCTGATGATTGGCATTATATTTGCCTTTTTCCAATCTTGAAAAAAGGGAAGAAGGAGAATCTGGGGAACTGCAGACTCTGACCACAGTCCCTGAAAAAATCATGGAGCAAGTCCTCAAGGAATCCATTTTTAAACACTTGGAGAAGAGGAAGGTGATCAGGAATAGTCAAAATGGATTAATCAAGGGCAAGTCATGCCTTCTGTGATGAGATAACAGGCTCTGTGAATATGGTGGAAGAGGTAGATGTGATATACAGGTTGAACCTCTCTAGCCCGACACTCTCTGTTCTGGCAACATGTGTGGTCCGGCATGATTTTCGTTAGCCAGATGTCCACTTATCATGGATGTGGCCAAGTTTCCTCAGTCCTGTAAAGTTTGTTTCCAGCCACTGGTCCTACCTCTCAGTGTTCTGTGCTCTTATTTAGCTCTGTTTTACCCCGTAATGTCTTCTAAGAGCCCAGTAAGCAGTGGAACTGTTGGTAAGGCTGCTAGACTATATTGACTTCTGTGGTTTGGCAAATTGTCTTGTTTGGCACTAGTGAGATCCTGAGTGAGCCAGACTAGAGAAGTTCAACCTTTAGTTAAGCTTTTGGCATGGTCTCTCACAATATTATTGCCAGCAGGTTAAAGTAGTATGGCTTGAGTGAATGGACTATAAGGTGGATAGAAATCTGCTAGATTGTCATCTCAGCATGTTATGATCAATGGCTTGATGTCTAGTTGGCAGCCAGTATCAAGTGGAGTGTCCCAAGGGGTCAGTCTTGGGGCCAGATGTTCAACATCTTCATTAATTATTTGTTTTATGGGATGAATTGTAATCTCAGCAAGTTCACAGATGACACTAAGCTGTGGGGAGAGGTAGATATGCTGGAGGATAGGGATAGGGTCCAGCATGATTTGGACAAATTGGAGGATTGGGCCAAAAGAAATCTGATGACATGCAACATCAGAAGGATGTGCAGAGTTCTGCACTTAGGATGGAAGAATCCCATGCACTGCTGCAGACTGGGGACTGAAAGTCAAAGCAGGAATTCTGCAAAAAAGGACCTGGGGATTATTGCAGACAAGAAGCTGGATAGGAGTCAACAGTGTGACTTTGTTGCCAAGACAGCTAATGGCATATTGGGCTGCATTAGTAGGAGCACTGCTAGCAGATCAAAGGAATTGATTATTTCTTTCAATTCAGCCACAGCTGTAGTATTGTATCCAGTTTTGGGTCTCCCGCTGCGCAGAGGTTGTGGTCAAACTGGAGAGAGTTCAGAAGAGGGCAACAAAATATTAGGAGACTGGAATACATGACATATGAGAAGAGGCTGAGGAAACTGCTTATTTAAACTGCAGAAGAGAAGAGTTAGGGTGTGGGGGGATTTGATAGCAGCGTTCAATTACCTGAAGGGGGTTCCAAAGAGGATGGAGCAAGATTATTCTCAGTGGTGGCAAATGACCGAACAAGGAGCAGTGGTCTCAAGTTACAGTGGGGAAGGTCTAGGTTGGATACTAGGAAAAGCTACTCCACTAGGAGGGTGGTGGAGCACTGGAGTGGGTTACCTAGTGAGGTGGTGAAATCTCTATTCTTAGAGGTTTTAAAGGCCAGGCTTGACAAAGCCCTGGCTGGGATGATTTAGTTTAGATTGGTCCTGCTTTGAGTGGGGTGGGGGGAGGAGGTGATTGGGCTAAATGACCTCCTGAAGCCTCTTCCAACCCTAATCTTCCATGATCCTGTGAGAGGAGCTGTGTGATCTCTGTGTGTCTGACTTAGGACTCTCTATAGTTTTCCTTCTAGACTCCTTGGGCAAGTAACTGAGTTTGGGGGACATCGCCATGGACCCACTTTCAGAGTTGCAGGATGACCTGACTCTGGAGGACACCAATCAGTCCCTAAACCAGCTCAAACTGGCCTCCTTAGATGAGAAGAACTGGCCAGCAGATGAAGTGCCTGTTTTTCCCAAGTCAGGTGAGCATCCCTGCTGGGGCCAGTGGATATTTGGATGCAGAGCTGGTTTTGAGCTATGGGGCTTGGGACATGCAGTTTCCTTCCATGGACAAAGCTAAGACTTGACAAAACTCACTTCTCCTGTGTCCAAATCTAGATGATTTTAAAACAGTTGTTCAGGAAGACCATGGTAATGCATTAACTTCTCTGCATGTCACGGACCCTTCTGCCCTCATCCCTTTGTTCCCAGGCCCCTCCCCATGTTGTTCAAAGTCTGTTTCTGTTTTTGTGCTAATTGCTGGTTTACTGGTTTTGTTGTTGTTGTTTTTTTGTGCAGAGGATACCAATCACTCCCCTGAAGCCATCACTCACCTCCGCTGGGATGATCCATACTATGATATTGCGCGGCACCAGATTGTGGAGGTAGCAGGTAACAACCAACTCTTCCCACTCCTTCCAGTGTTGCCTCAGCAGTAGGATCAAATGTGGCTTTGTAATTTGGAGTGGAAAGGAGCCTGCCCTGCACCATCCACTTGTAGCAGACAACAGGGACAGCTGACATCTTGGGAGATGGGAGCCTCAAATCTTTAGAATGTCTGTGGCAGTTCTTATTTTCCATTGTTCTCAGTCTGACTCAGATCCATTCCCAGGTCTCACTGTCTCCAAAGTTAAGGACGCTCACCCCTGCTGATGTGCGTTCAGTGGAGCCCCACCATATCCCAAGGCATGCTGCAGCACCTCCTAACTGATCACACCAGAATTGCCACCTCCCCCTGGTTCTTCAGGGAAGTCGTTAACATCTAAGTTGTCAGAGCAATTGGCATATTAACTGGTGTGGGACTATATAGTTTGCACAGTCAAAGCTTGTGGCTTTGTTCTTGTGCTGCACCCTTTCATCTAACTGGATTGTGTGGGCAGCCCAGGCTGCTAACTTTGTTGATACTTAAGTGATAATTAGGCTGCAGCACAAATATTAACTCTTGGAGCACTGCAAACACCCTTTGCAAATCCCAGTTAATCAGTTAACTGGTGAAACTTTAGGTTTAACTGGTTAACTGATTAAGCAGGATCCTGCTCCTGGCACTCTTGTGCAGGAGGTCTGACAGCAAGGAACTAGCAGCTGTGCGTGCAAGGGCTGCCTCTGCTGCCAACCCCCCATGTGCAAGGCTCCCGGCTGCCACTGCTAGCCTTTCCATGCCAGGGGGCTGGCAGCAGGAGCCAACAGCTGCATGCAAGGGGGTGGGGGCGGTTTCTGCTTCCTGCTCCCAGTACCCCCTCTCCCTCCCAAGGGTGGCCAGCTTCTGTTCCCAGTTCCTCCGTGCAGTGAAACCTGATCCTGACCCCCACAGGAAAAAATATTATTATCCACTTCTCTGGTTTGTTTGGGACACGTGTATGGAGTCTGACTCTTTTCTTCTCTCCAGCGAGGCCACTCCAGCTTTTTGGAAATTCTCACTGTTGTTCTAAAACGATGGCTATGGCTTTTTTCCAGGCTACTTTATGTCTTCGGAGCCTTGGCTAGTCAGGTTAAGAGTGGAATAATTCAGTCACTGGCCAAAGTGTCTCACACCACAGCTGGCCTGGGTCAGTTTTCAGTGGCTCAGACTGCAGAGTTATAAAATTATACAGTTGATGTTAGGCTTAGTCTGCAGCCTGGTCTCTGAGACCCTGCAAGGGAGGAGGGTCCCAGAGCCCACACTTCAACCCGAGTCCAAACATCTACATTACATTTCTATAGCCCTGCAGTCTAAGCTCCACAAGCCCAAGTTAATTGGCATGGGTCAGCTGCAAGTATTTTTTTGTAATGTAGAAATATTCTTAAAATCGTGTCCATGGTGTACTGATTTGCTAGATTCCTGATCCTGCTTCCAGGGTCTAAAGTTTCCAGGACTATGGCTATCCCAAATCACCGCCATGTTCTCTATAATGCTGTGATTGGGTTGGAGGAGTGCAGGTTTGTGTCATTCAGTGCTTCAGTGACAGAAGCTCAGACATTTTCTGTTGCAGATATTTGCTAAGGCAGAGTGGACAGGCATTTCTAAACACCAGGAATTGAAGAGTTAAATGATTCTCTTACCTCAGACAAAGCCAACAGTGCTAACTGAGTGGTTAGATCAGAACCAAAAATGGGCCCAAACCAAGGATATTCTCTATCATGTGTTATGTGCTTGATATACTCTCCGATGTTCTGTAGAGCTTTTATCCCAGTGAATCCCAGTGTTAACTTTTATGAGCTGCATGAATAGGTATCACTGAAATCCAGCCAGCTCAAAGGCAGGGTACAAGAATGTTACATAACAGTGTAGGCTACAAGGTGAAAATTTCCTAACTGAAATGGTAGGTGGGATTTCAGGAGATTCTCATGGACACAGTGACCAATTGGAATGTGTGTCTGGGCTGTGGAAGGACTCTCCTCCCCCACTATGGGGTAGGTTTGTGCCACTGGGATAATGATCTCTCCTTTTTTATTTTTAAGTGCCTGTACCTATGATCTTTGTGTGCTTTGGAAGCTTTCCTCTGAAGCTTGTACCATTGGCTACTGTTGGAGTTGGATTAGCAGACTAGCTGGGCTGATGGCCTACTGTATTTGTACAGTTCTTGTGTTCTGTGATCATCTCCAGTACAACTTGGAGGGCATTGACTTGCATTATTCCAGGCTGGTCATTTCTTCCCCATTGCAAATAGTCCTTTGGTTGCCACTCTCCCATCCACCACCATGTGCCCTGGGCATGCTCAGTGCCTGCCATTCAGTTTTGAATTCCAGCAGCTGATGTCCTGGAACTATGCTGAGTAGATTCAGAGCTGGTTGTTGAAGTTCCACGATGTCTAGTGTGACGCTGTTTGGACTCCCTGTGTTTATAGGGACCAGGAGGGAGACCACAGTAGTTGCAGAACCATTTTATGAGTGGAGGACAGGCTAGTACTCGGTGCAAGGGGAGATGACCTCAGTCCAGACAAACATCACTACACCCACCAGCATAGCTGGCACAAATTAGCTTGGTAATGGCAATTTCAGAAGAGAGGCTCAGGACTGAGTGTAGCATGGAAATGGAATTGCCTTGTGACTTCTAAAAGGGGAATGGTCTTTTTTGGGCTGGACTGAAGCACATTGGCAGCTGCTGGTGGGGAAAAACTCACACCCTACTGCTGCCCAGGGTAAACTTGTTCTGAAAATGGAGGCTCTAGATCAGTTCAGAGATGTCAGTCTGGGACCCTTCATCAGTAATCTGGTTTTTTTCCAGAGTTGATGACCAGCTATTCTAGCAGAGGCGAATTGGCAGTGCAGCTCCAGTTAGCAAGTTAATGGAGATGTACTCCAGAAGCGCCGACATGTTCAGCACCTGGCAGCGGGCCCTGTTGCTCTAAGGGGCTGCCTGAGTCACACTCTGGGCTCCGTGACAGGGCTCTTATTCAGCCTCTTAGTCAATTATTAATAAAGTAACTGAAACAATACTCAAAATGTCAAACCACAGCGCAGACCTTGGAATCACTGGGTCACATTCCCAGGACTGCAGTGGGACATGTTCAGACCCTCCTGGATTAAACTGGTGCTGGGAGGGGGGTGCACATTAGAGATGGAGAACAAGCTGCATCAGTGCTGGAAAGAAGCACTAAGGGAGCCTCTTTCAAACTAGGAAGAAACTGATTAGAAAATAGCCTTTGGCAACCTGAACCTGAAGAACTAACACTGAGGTGCTTTGGGCTCATCAGACATGCTTCTGATCTGCACTTAAGCTTCATCTGTACTGGGACAGCTTCCCATGGCCAGCCTGAGAGAACCAGCCCCTGTCTCATTCCTTTTGTGATCATTACCAAATGGCTAGAGAGAGAGGTTTTGCCATCCTGCTGCTTCAGTAAATCCTCCAATAGCTCTGTTCAGCCACCTATGCCCTATCCTCCTGCACATCAGGGCAGAGGGCATGTGGCTAATTCTGTCCATCTTTTCCTGAACGAGTACTGGAATAGTCCATGCTGGGGCACTATTTTGAGACATTTTCAAGGAAATAGAAGCAGGAGGCTAGTTCACATCCTCAGGTTGAGCTTGTTGCATCCAGTGCTGTTGTGTGAGATTAGAGCAGCTCAACAGAAGAATGCGCAGTCTTTGTGCAACACAGCTTAATATTACAAAACCAATTATGGCTGCACAATAATTGGGAGAAACATTATCTTGCTGATATTCATTTGTGATCCAGGTTGTCCTCTGGTCTCCCAAGCAGTCTGGGGTCTAAGAGGAAGGATTTGAACTCTTAAGAAATGTGGAGTAGAATTGGAGGGAAAATAGTCTTTTCGTGGTTGTTCTCTTCTGCTCCACTTGGAAATTTTGGCTTTTTCATGAAATATCAAGAACCAAAATATTTTGATCAACAGTGGTTTCAAGTAGTCCCATGGGAGTTGTACTTGGGGGACAGTATGCTTCTGTTCTCCTCCATGAGCCAGACTCTGGAAAATGCATGACTCTTAGGATGCACCCTTTCACCTTTCTAGATTGAGCAAGGATGTTTGTTTGAGGAGTTTCTGGCTGTGATGCATCATGGGAAATGTAATTCTTTGCTCTTCCACCTCCCTCCCTGCAGTGAGCTCTGCCGATGAGCTATTTGTGGCTGTCTGAAAGCTCTGGGAGGGCAGGGTAAGTGTTGCTGAGAACCGGGGCCTGAAAGCTCTGGGAGGGCAGGGTAAGTGTTGCTGAGCACCGGGGCTTGGCTTTTCACCAGCGGTGCTCCAGCCCAGAATGCTGGACCACATATTGCCAGACTACAGAAGTCCAGACTATGGAGGCCAAACCTGTCGTTAAACTGCTTAACCACTTTTGCAGAAACTCATGCAAAGGCTGCTCGGCACCTCAGTAACCACTTCTGCAATGTAAAATCTGGGACAAACCACGACGTGCAGCATTTAGAGGAGGGCCTGTTAGCCCATGCTCTGAGAGCATTGTTGGTACCACTCCAGTCTCAGGCTCACCCCCTGGACCTCTTCTCCAGATATCTGTATTTTGTGCGTAACTTCTAAAAAACTCAGTATCCATTTGTAACACCTCAGCAGCAAAGCCAAACAGTGGAACAAGTGTAATCTTGGCCCCAAATCACAGACTAGAGTGAATCACAGCAAAAGTGGCTAATGGTTAGGAAGAAACCTCCAGGTGCATGAACCAGATCAAAGAGCCCATCAGGGGATTTGGTACAACCAAGGTTGGTTGTAAATCTGTGTGCCATAGATGAGTAAGTGAATAAGATGGCTGAAACAAAAATACTGAAACCTCCCCTCCTCCCCCCAAAAAAAAATCACCAGGAAAAAAATTTGTTGAAGGAAAAAAAGGGGGGGAGGAGACTAAATCACTTCTAGGGGTTACCAGGTAGCCATTTAAAAAAAACAAAAATCCAGACATGCTGGCTGGG